ACGCACTGAACGCATTGAACGTACTGAACTTATTGAACGCACTGAACATACTGAACGCACTGAACGCATTGAACGTACTGAACTTATTGAACGCACTGAACGTACTGAACTTATTGAACGCACTGAACGCATTGAACTTGGCCTTTGTTTTAACTTGATGAATGCTGTTAGCCACCACTCGTCCTCATCTTCTTCTAATCAGTCCTGTAAAGCAGTACGAAGCAGAAAGCTAAATACTATTTTAAATAAATGTTATTAAAAATTTTGTGGCATTCTGCTCGTTTAGTTTAGCCTGAAATATTAGTAAACACAGATTACAGGATTAAACCCTTCATGTTGTCGATTAGCTCACTGCGCGGCACTGTCTCTCTGGATTTGAGAGTTCTGTGATGGAGTTAAAGTAAAGCAGTCTGCTCCTCAGATAAATAATTTTCAGTTATTATTTTATATCTGAATGTTTCTGTTCGGTGCCTGACACAACTTCTGTTGTGACTTGGAACTTTAGAAATAAACTGAACTGAATTGAAGTTTACTTCAGGTGAGCCCACATCAACAAAATGAACATGCATGCTCTAACACTCCCTGATGGTCCACACGTTGCTTTGCCTCGAGTTCGTTTGCAATTTTCTGCGTGTGAAAGTGAATCAAACCGATTCAGTTCAATTCTGCAGCTCCAAGTCACAACAGAAGTCACCTCAGATCTCTGAACACAAACATTCAGACTTTATAAAAGACAATTAATAAAGTTCTCTATCTCAGGAAGCAGCAGGTTGAGTTGAATCTTCACTTCATCACAGTCTCTCATCCTGAGCAAGAACAAAGGGGACAGTGGGAAGGAAAACTGCCTTTAGCAGGAAGAAACCTCCAGAAGAACCAGGCTCAGGACGAGCGGACATCTGCTGCAACCAGCTGGGTCTGAGAGGACAGGAAGTAGAAACAGACACAGAATGACAGGTCCAGGTGTGGTTTCTATAGTCCATGTGTACTTTCTATAGTCCAGGTGTGGTTTCTATAGCCCAGGTGTACTTTCTATAGTCCAGGTGTGGTTTCTATAGTCCAGGTGTGGTTTCTATAGCCCAGGTGTACTTTCTATAGTCCAGGTGTGGTTTCTATAGTCAAGGTGTGGTTTCTATAGCCCAGGTGTACTTTCTATAGCCCAGGTGTACTTTCTATAGTCCAGGTGTGGTTTCTATAGTCCAGGTGTGGTTTCTATAGCCCAGGTGTACTTTCTA